TGTCAGTGCCTCATTCGGTTCGTAGGGCAATGGCTTCTAAGGCTTCCTCGATTGGTTGTCGCTTGGAGGATATTATGAGAGCGGCTGGTCTTCAGAGTCTACATTCCATGATTTCTACTTTAGACCTATTCAACACTTCACAGGAGACATAATTTCACAGCTTTGAACTAGCATAATAGGAGCCTCCGTGTCTTAATAAAATTTACAGATTTTACTATTAACATGACGTAAAGTCATGATTTTATTAATGACACGGAGGCGAGTATTATCCCTCCCTCCCATCCCTGGAGATTTGGTCTTCTCTGGGTAAGTTGACTTCACGGTAAGTCTTTTTTGATTACTGGGTTTTATCCTTGTTAATGACTGTCAAGAGCTTAAGGTTTGACTAAACTGAATTTCATGTTATGTATATATATCTGATATTTCATGTAATGCGAATTTATGCATAAATCCAGTTTTATACTTGGATATTACCATATTCTCCTTTCTCTTCCAGCTTGACTTCGAGATCCAGTTTAAGGCTCGTATACCCTCTAATTGGAGCCCACTTTTTATTTGGATTTGTTGTCCTTGTTCGGGATCGCAAGAAAGAGGAAGTAGTATACTGGACACTGCCTATTATGCTATAAAGAGGATGCTGATTGGCTGTTGCTGTTGCTAGGAAGATATACCTCATGTTATTTACTGGTTTCTTTTATACTGATTTAATGTTATTTTTCTTTGCTGCTGAGGTAAATAAAGAAAGAGTGCAGCATAATACTCGCCTCCGTGTCATTAATAAAATCATGACTTTACGTCATGTTAATAGTAAAATCTGTAAATTGTGTTCCAAGCAGTTGTATACTGCAAACACAAATTAAAAGGAATCCATGTTTAAAATGGAATGAGGCAAAAATGTGATTCTTTGTTAAACTAATTTGCATATGCCCACCCAGAATCCTTTGCGGTTGTAACATCACTGCTGATTTGGGATTTCTGTGGGAAAAGCAAGTCTTATGGCTTGACTGGTGTGCAGATTTTTGTTTAGCATTGTATTAACTATATATATATATATGTGTGTGTGTGTGTGTGTGTGTGTGTGTGTACATATAATATATTATTATTAGAATTCTTTTATTATTATTTTAAAAAAATTAATATTTTACTTATTTATTTTATTATTGTAATCATGTAACTTAATTCTAAGTGTATTTTAATACTAATATATGTACTAATATTAACATTAAAATACACTACATATGACGTTACATGTATATATTTACATGCTTTATTTTTTTGACAGCCCAGATAGTCCCCCTGCTGGCAGATCTAGAGCCAGCTATAGGGGACCATATGATCGTTCTTTGAGAGCGCTCACATGACCCACGGGGGCCTAATTTGCCAGGGAGGGCTTCCTGAGCGGTCAGGCAGTCCTCCCGATGCAGATTGCCGGGAAGGTGAGTATCGGGAGGCTCTTGGGGGGGCTTTAGCCATTGCGGCGTTCTAGGCCGCCGCAACGGCTTTAAAGCACATTATAATGGGGACGGCATAGAACGCTGTAATGGCGTTTAGTGGTTAAAGAACATACTGTTATGATAGCATACATCATAATAAATCCTTAAAGGGTTACTCCAACCCTTTTTTATTAAATAGTTTTTGTTTTTTTAATTTACAGTGCCAAATAGGGCATTAGTTAATGTATTTTTGAATTTTTCCCATCGAGATGCATTGATTCATTGCATCTCTATGAGAAGATGCTGATTGGCCAGGGTGGTGTTTGCCATATTACCAAGAAAATTGAGACCTTTCTGCACTAAGATTGAGTGACCCCGTGATTCACAGGATCATGTCACATCTATGCAATAAGGTGTTTGCTGCACAATGTGTGAATACATGACCAGTCCTTTTTAAAGTATATGGAAAATCCTCTAATGGGAAATGTATGGAAAAGCATTGCAATTGGCTGAGATCATCAATTCTGATTATCACCTTTTAAACCAGAGATAAATATGGCCGATCACCGGTGGTTTTAGAACTATAGTGTCAGGAATACACGTTTGTGTTCTTGACAATATAGCACCCCTTAAAGAAAAAAAAAATAACATAAGAGCTAAGCGTATGAATCTATACATTACAAGATTTCCATATACCTTAAAAATGGCAGGTCATGTATTCACACCTTGTAATAACACATTGTGCAACAAACACCTTATTGCATAGATGTGACATGATCCTATGAATCAGGTGGTCCCTCAATCTTAGTGCAGAAAGGTCTCAACATTCTTGATAATGATTGGAGTACATTTTCAGAGAGATTGTTGTTTGCTTCTTATGTATTCAATGGCCTGTGCATTTTTCAGTTGCATTTTGTATTTCTTGTAAAATATTGTTTTGAAACAAATTTCTCGCGTATAGTGGTCACCCTCTTTGACTTTTTCATGTTTTGAATTTTTACAATTTAAACGTAAATATTAAAAGTATATTAGGATTCTCCTCAGTTAATTTATACAGCATACCTAAAAGTTGGTTTCACAATATATTTTTTTAATTTTGACACAAATTTAATTAAAGAAAAATAGATGTGTTGTGGCATAAGTATTCACCTCTACTGCTATGAAACGTCTTGCTCAAAAGCACCAAAATTCCTTCACAATTCACATATTTTATTTTCATTTATTTAATTTTTACTCACCTCAAAAATATATCTGCTAAATATAATTAATTAAAAATCTTGAAAAATAGCAGTTCCCTTTTAAGACTTTAGTAAACTTGCAAGTGCAAAGTGTTATGACATTTAATTTATAAATTATCTGTAATAAAAAAAAGCTTCATACACGTTAAAAGAATAAGAACACAAGGTATTTTTTTTTTAATATATTTACTAAAGTATAAGTCTATAGTTAATAGATGCATAACAAAACATAAAGTAAATTATTTATTTTGATTTTCTCTTCCTTTTATTGTGGAATAATCCATATATATTCAATCTAGGAAAAACATATGTCAGCTTATCTTACAACGATCTGTCATCCAAGATACATTGAAATAAGAGTAGTCCGTTATGAAATGGCTTTCTCCTAACAAATCTTTATACTGGCAGATTGTGTCCGTGATTAATCAATACACTCAATAGGTGTTTATGATTCATCTAAATTTAGATGTGCTAGCAGAGTGTCAGAAGGTGGACTAAGGACACTGAGCATCATCAGACACATTTTTATTGCCCTCTACCCTTTTTCTCATTGCTAGCTGTCTGGTTATTTAATCCTTATTATTCAACTGAGGAATTTTCTAAGTATGCTAGATAAATAGTTCCTGCCTAGCTGACTGTGTTCTTCTAACCAGGGAAGACACAATTCTTGGTTTAACAAAATGTCGGTCGATTAAAAACCTATGTCTGAAGTAAACACATTGTGCTGATTTGAAATGAAACTTTCTTTTTTCATGGAGGCTTTGTGAATCACCGGCAGGGAAGGTGTGGCTAAGGCTACATAAACAAAGTGATTTAACTCCAAAATGGCAGAGAATTGAGCAGTGAGACTGCAGGAGCATGATCTATACATCAAAACTGATTAATTTAGCTTAAGTTGATTTGGTGCTTAGTCTATCCGTGTCAGGCCGTACTGGGATATACATACCAGGGAAGCAGCTGCCATTCACATAACATATCAGAAATAAAGTTGATTTAGAACCTTAGCCACAAATTATAATTTGAAATGGCCAATGAAACATATCATAAGGCAGTAAAACTTTGTGACAAACTGCTAATGTCTGCTTCCTCGGCTCGCTCTCTGAGTGAAGGAACTGTGATTAATGCTTTGTATTAAATTTCACAAGCTCTTATTGATTTTCATACAAGGTTGGTAGATGGACTGAAATAGCAGCACATGCAAAACAATTTAGCAGGAACTTCAAAGTTATATTTCATCTGGTGGAGTGTGTGGTTAGTCTACAGTAAATAGCCTGGGATATATACACACAGTAAATCACTAAATATTCCGTAAATAAACCTATAGCCATTGTTTCCTCTTTATGTAACTTTGTTTCTACGCATAAAAGCTTATTGTAATTTCCATACCCTTTATATTCTTACATTTTGAAATTGCTGATCTTTTATATCAAGCTTACAAAATATTAGTATTTTCTACCATCATTTTTAAAGCAATATTCGGCCACAGCATGATGAGTGCATTCTTTGACTTTCTCTATCCTGCAAGATTTATTAAATAAACCCAGCCACACATTGGATGGATATTTCAAATTTGGTAGAATCAGACCACCATAAATGATATATTAAATGCTGTGAGTAAGTGAGCAGAGCACTCAATAAATATTTTATTTTGTGTATTAGAATAAGATTCATAGCTTACAATTATTAAGATGGTTAAGCAACCTAACCACTACGGATAAGTTAAGTGCTTATACTGCTAATAGACACTGAGTGCTGTACCACAGATTTATGTCAAATTTAAACTTCCACATTATCAATGTCATTTCCACCAACCTAGATGACAGTGATGGGATGAGAGGATTTTGTGAATGACTGCATCTCAGCTTATCATTGTCATCCAGGTTAGACCTCACCCAGAACATTATAGCAAAATAGAACATAATAGCAATTTAAAGGAACATTCCAAGCACCGTGGCAGTGGTTATGGTGCTCTGGTAGAATGGTTTGACTTCTTACCTGGTGTCCTATAGGCAGGGCCGGACTGGCCCACCGTGATACCGGGAAATTTCCCGGTGGGCCGTCGGCACCTGGGGCCGGGCAGACACCTGGGTCTGCTGTAGGCCGCTGGCAGGGGCGGGCTGGGCCGGGAGGCAATTGCCCCCCAGGCCGCCCTAAATTCTTGTAAGACCGGCCGCGGCGGGCCGGCCCTTTAAAAACTGCAGCCGCCTGAGCGCTCTGTGAAGAGCCTCA